GGGGGGGGGTGCAGGAGGCAGCCGATCAATGATTCTCTCTCACCATTGATGTTTCTGTCTTTCTCTCCCTCTCCCATCCTCTCTGAAATCAATAAAAATATATTTTTTTTAAAAAGAGAGAACAAAAAATTAATTACCCAGTGAATTCTTTCAAACACAAAGCCCCACCCTGAGCACCAATGTCTAGGAATGAGGTCAGCAACTCAGTAGGCACCTTTGCAGGCCCAGACAACACATTTCTTGATGTGATGGAAGGACAGGTGGTGGACATCTGGAACTGCGCTGTGTCTTGGGAGTCCACATGCCCGTGCCTGTACTGGCTAGAGATGCCTCCCTGCTCTCACATCTCTCCTCCCTCAGAGTATAGTAGCCAACCTACTGCTTCTTGATTATAATCAAGAGTTCCACACATAACACATGTCCTACCAGCTAGGCTTTAAAATACGTGTTACTGAGAATCCTACACATCAAAAGGAAATCCAGGATCTTTACTTGACATTTAACCTAAAATGTTAAAGTCTATTTTGATTGGATTTTCAGAAACTAACAAAAACCAATTAAATAACAAAAAACCCCCACAACTCACAGCAGTAATGACGTTTCCATCATGCATGCTAACTGCTTCCTCTAAGAGTTGTAGCTTGTCCTGTAAGGAGCGGAATCTTTCTAGTGAGCAGACCTGGTGGAATAAGAAGAGAATTAGTGTGCTGGGAGAAGACTGTTCACTACATTCCTCTGTCACTGGACACGGAAGTACAGGCAAGAATAAAAGGAAATGTCTCCAAAGAAAGCCACTTTATTTTTACACTGTGGTGCCCAGAACAATATCGACAGTAGTTTCCCACCACACCCTCTCTAGTCAGCCTTATGCTCTGTATGTCATTTCCTGATGAAGTCTTACCAAAGTCAACAGGTAGAGATCACTTCCTCTTTTTTTTTAATATATTTTATTGATTTTTTTACAGAGAGGAAGGGAGAGGGAGAGGGATAGCGAGTTAGAAACATTGATGAGAAACATCGATTCAGCTGCCTCTTGCACGCCCCCCACTGGGGATGTGCCCACAACCCAGGTACATGCCCTTGACCGGAATCGAACCTGGGACCCTTGAGTCCGCAGGCCGACGCTCTATCCGCTGAGCCAAACCAGCTAGCGCACTTCCTCTTTTTATAATGAGGTATAAGTTACATACAATAAAATCTACCCTATTTAAATGTACAGTTTGGTGAGTTTTGACAAGAATAGAATTCCATGTAACTACTAACACAATCAAGATACAGAATATTTCCATCACCCCAATAAGTCTCCTTGTCTACTTTAATGTCCATACCTTCCCATCCCATCCCCAGTCTATTATATATACCACCATTTATTTACCTATTTAGCTCTGGATGGATATTTGGATTTTCACTTTGGGGGCTATTATGAGGAAAGCTGTATGAACATTTGTGTATAAGTCTTTGTATGGACATGTTTTTGTCCATACAAAACATGCATTGTAAATGTTCACGAATGAAATTAAGTGTATGATTAACTTTGTAAGAAACTGCCAGACTATTTCCCAAAGCAGTTTTACTATTTTTCCTTCTGGCTGACAGTGTACAAGAGTTCCACATCCTCCTAATATTTGGTATGATCAATATTTTAAAGTTTAGCCATTCATTCCAGTACCTGCATAGTGGTATCATACAGTTTTAATTCACATTTTCTTGATAACTATGTTGAGCACCTTTTCAAGTGCTCATTGGCCATTCATATATGTTTTCTGTGATATAACTGGTCAAATCTTATGCCAATTTTTATTGGATTGTTTATTTTCTTATTACTGAAAATAACTCTTTCTTTATATATTCTGTATGAAAATCCTTTATAATATGTCTATTTTGCAAATATTTTCTACCAATATAATGATATTTTCATGTTTTAGTTTGTTTTTTTGTTAATCCTCACCCACGTATATTTTTTCCATTGATTTTTAGAGAGAATGGAGAGAGACTGTGAGAGAGAGAGAGAGAGACCGAAGGGTCACAGGTTCAATTCCTGGTCAAGGGCACCTACCTGGGTTTCAGGTTCAATCCCAGCCCCAGTCAGGGCTCATATGTGTCTCTCTCACGTTGATGTTTCTCTCCCCCCACCCTCTCTAAAAATCAATCGAAAAAAATATTCTTGGGTGAGGATTAACAACAACAACAAAAAAGTTAACTCATAATGGATCTCAGACCTAAACATAAAAGATCACGCTCATTCTCATTCGGATCTCAGACCTAAACATAAAAGATCACGCTCATTCTTTTATATATATGCTGGCCGGGCTGAACCGGCAACCTTTCGAGGAAGGGAGAGGGAGAGAGAAAGAGAAACATCAATATGAGAGTAGAACATCGATTGGCTGCCTTCTGCACAATTGGATCCAGCCCTGATGGGGAATCGAATCGTGATCTCTGTCTCTCTCACGTTGATGTTTCTCTCCCCCCACCCCCAGTCTTTTACCCTCTCTAAAAATCAATGGAAAAAAATATTCTTGGGTGAGGATTAACAACAACAACAAAAAAGTTAACTCATAATGGATCTCAGACCTAAACATAAAAGATCACGCTCATTCTTTTATATATATGCTGGCCGGGCTGAACCGGCAACCTTTCGGTGTACAGGACAATGCCCAACCAACTGAGCCACACTGGCCATGGCCACCTTCATTCTTAAAAGCACTTTTCCCTCTCGTCCATCACTCTTTCCCCATTACCCTATCAAAGTAACACTAAACTCTAGAGAATCTCAAATTTTGCAGCTGACTTTTCATCTTAGTGAATTTATTTTCTTCCTGAAAACCACTTCATTTAACAATTCGAACTGAAGAGAGGGGTCAAGAAATCCTCCCTATGGGAACAGCGCCAGCTTCCCAAAATAATCCCACAAGACTTCATTCCCCAGTGGTCTTACCTTGCCCTTCCGAAGGCGTCGCACCGTGTCGCTGGGGCTCCAGTCATTGCTGTAGTCCTGGAATATTAGCAACACATGAATCCCAAGAAGTTAAGGGATCAGAATTATCAGTGTGCCAGCTCCCCGCCTCACACTCAGTGTCTTAGTCCTTAAAGGGGACAGATTTTGTGGGAGGGAATGGAGAAAAATTAATGAACTGAGATAGTCTTGTTCTGAATTTCTGAAGGAACTAGAACAGGAATAATACAGACGGGAAGAGATGAATCAAAGACAGAATGAACCAACTGACAAAATCAGTAATGCTGTGCCTACTGGTTTAGGATTTCAACCCCTCGATGCAATCAATCCCATTTTTGAGACTCTAAATAATAGCTATGCCAGCATAAGGAAAGAGGGAGACATGTTCCTTTTCCAGACTTTAGGATATAGTTTCTTCCTTATGAATCAATTTGCTTTTTTATGTGCTTCATGGGAGTACAAGCTTCACCAAGTTTCCAGTTCACATTGATGATCAAAAGTTTCAAAGTACAGCCTTCAAAGAGCAGCACAATGGGGAAGGAAAGTGTGCTAGGACTGAATCAAAAAATAGATACTTTTGAGTCCAAGTTCCACCATTTCCTAGCTGTGAGACCCCAGGCAGGCCCTAATGTTTAGAAATCAGTGTTCTTATCTATAAAACGGGGTTAAATTAACAGGTGCTCAAAAAGTTGGGAAGATCAAGCAAGATAATGTCAAAGCACTTTAGACTGGGTACAGTGTCAACCCAGTGTAAGGTATTACTCACCCTAAACTCCCCCTTGGGTCTCCCCAGCTCTGGAGCATAGCTTTTGGCAGGTGTGTCCGAAAGAGCTGAAAGAGAACAGGCAGCTGTTTTAGAAGGACACCACCTTCTTGTCATTCCTTTCCTCAATGCCTCCTTCTTGACTTGTAGGCTCCCAAGGTATGTTTTAGGGCCCAAAGTAATTTTCGGTACCTCTCCAAAGCCAGTATCCCTAGAAGTCACCCATTCCCCTGTAATCAGAATCTACCTCTTACTCAGTATGAGAAAATTTCTCTAATAATGATGAGAGATTCAGAATAAATTTTATCAAATCGTCTAATTACCACTTTTCTCCATGACTCCCCAGACTATACCCCAGATCAGTAACGTCTCCCAAAGTAATCAAGAAAAGAGGGTCAATGCCTACCATCAGAAAGGGACTGGAAACTTCCAAGTCTAGTTCTCCCTAAAGATAAAGAACACATGAGGGAGGAGGTGAGCAGTTAAGCCAGACCCATTCTGACTTGGTTAAGGATGTAGTGTGTATAAAACCTTATTATGCATTATGGGAACTTAAAACTTAAAAAAAACTTTATTCAATTTCAGAAATTTAAGATACCATGGGGGAAAAAGGCAAGGAGGAAAAAATTTTTAATTGCGATAAAATATACATAACATAAAATTTACCATTTTAACTATCCTTGAGCCTACAGTCCAGGGGCATTGAGTACACCAAAAGTACAACCATTGCCATTATCCACCTCCAGAACTTTTTCATCATCCCAAACTGAGGCTCTGTACCCATTAAACAGTAACCCCCTGTTCCCTTCACCCCCAGCCCTGGTAACCACTATATATTCTACCCTCTGTTTCTATGAATCTGATTATTCTAGATACCACATACGTGTTTAAGTGGACTCATACACTGTTTATCTTTTTGTGTCTGGCTTATTTCACTTAGCACAAAGTTCTCAAGGTTCATCCATGTGGTAGCATGTACCAGAATTCTGTTCCTTTTTAGCTGAATAATATTCCATTGCATGTACATTTTGCTTATCCACTCATTAGTCAATGGACACTTGGGTTATTTCTAACTTTGGCTATTCTGAATATTGCTGCTATGAACACTGGTGAATAAATATTTGTTCAAGCTCCTGCTTTCAATTCTTTTGGGTATATATCTAGAAGTGGATTTCTTAATCATATTGTTACTGTGTTTAACTTTTTAAGTTTTTTAGGAACTGCATACTGTCTCTCACACGTTCTACATTCCCACCAGCAGTGCACACGGGTTCCCAACAGCAATGCACAGGGGTGGGGAGAACTTTTGACCTAGGCAAATTTCTTCAGTACCTGTCAAGGGGTTAATGCCAATTGTGTTCACATTCTAGAAACCCAGACCAACCCCTCTGAATTTCTCTCAATTCTCCACTCTTGATCCCCAACTGCCAGCTCCAAAGATAATTCTTTTTCCTTCAATAATCTTCTCCCACAGTAAATAAATAGTATAACCCGAGTATTTTGTCGTTGTTGTTGTTTTTAATCCTCAACTGGGGGAATTTTTCCATTGGTTTTTTTAGGGAGAGGAGAAGAAAGAGGGAAAGACAGAGAGAAACATCAATGTGAGAGAAACACAGCAATTGGTTGCCTCCCGCACGAGCCCTGACCAGGGCCCAGGCCAGCGAGGAGCCTGCAACCAAGGTGTGTGCCCTTAACTGAAATCAAACCTGGGACCTTTTGATCTGAAGGCTGACGCTCTATCCACTGAGCCAAACTGGCTAGAGCCTGAGGATTTTTTTGAAAAAGGAAAAGACGACTCCCTGTGGCTTTAACCACCACTTTTTACCTCTAAAAAAGTTGCTCAGGGAATAAGTAGAAGTAGGTTTGGGTAGCTGCGCATAGGAGGAGAAGCTGTTTCGGCTCTTTAGCTGCTCACGCCCCTCGTGGTTTAACCCACTGTTACCAGCAGTCTCTTTGATGGACCATGAGATACCTGTGAGATAGTAAGAACTAAGTCAGTCATTCTCATCCAAATAAATCCTAGATAACAAGCATTCCAACAAACTCTAAAAGCTTTTCACCAGAGGCCCTGGTCCTTTGGCTGACATGGACTCCAAAATTCAAGGCAGGGAGAAAGGATAGAATCAAATAGACTAATCAACAGAAAAATGGGCAAAGGAAATGAATAAAGGGATCACAGAAAAAATATTCAAAGGGCTATTAAATACATGAAAAGATGCTCAACCTCACTTTTAATAAGATAATTACATACATGAAAAGTACACTGAGACACCACTGGTCCCCTCTAAGACTGGCAAAGATCCCAAGGTTTAATAACACCCTGTGTCGGCAAGGCTGTGGGGACACAGGAACCCTCTGACATTGCATTGCTGGTGGGAGTATAAATTGACGCAACCCACATGGAGGGCAATTTGGCAATATCTATCCAATACAGATGCAAATGCCCTCTGCCAATAACTTCACTCTAGGACTTGATCGTTCATAGTCACCTCTGAGTATACAAGGTTATTGATAGCAAAATAAACAACACAAGATTGGAAACAATATAAAGTTCATCATCAGTGAGCTGATTAAATAAATTACAGAAAATCCATATATAGTAATACCATACTGCTATTTTAAAAAACAGAGAATGAGAAAGCTCTTTATGTACTGATATGAAAACATTTCCAAGCTATAGCATTAAGTGAAAAGTACAGGGTATAAAGTATGCTATCACTTGTATAAAAAAGGGGTAAGTATATTCCTATACATATTTATAAATGTAAAACGAATCTTTTGATGCATACATAGGAAGCAAACCATCGCAATAATTTCTTGGAAGGACAGGGACTAAGAACTAAGTAGGAGGGAAACCTTTGCCTATATACCTTAATACTTTTTTATTTTTAAATCACGTGATAGTATTTCCTATTAAGAAAAAATTTTTTAAATATCCTTAAAAATCTGATAGACTCTGCAAAGGTGTTAAGTGGTATTATATAAATACTAGGCAGCGAGACTTGGTGGCTAAGGAAGTCAGTTATGCCAATAGTTATGAGCATGTAAGTCAGTAGTTCTCATATTAGAAGTATCTGCAGTGCTTTTTATACAATGAGACCCCCTCCACCCCATCCCTATCGCCTACTGAATCAGAGTCTCTGGAGTGAACCCTAGGAACCTCATTTTAACAAGCATCCAAATGGGTCTAAAATAGCCAGTTAAGTATTAGCCCTAGGACAGCAGACCTACCCACATGGGAAATACTGTTGTATTTCCCCAAGGATCTTCTCCTGGGGTTAAATTTCCAGATGTGTGCATCTGAAAATAGCTACCCTCATTCCCTTTCCTGACAAGCACTGAAGAGACAAACAAGTGGGCCTTCATTGGTGACAAGAACCCTGAATGTCACTCGCCTCGTCGGGCCTTTTCTACTTACTTCCCACAGGTTCCCCAGTCCAGCTGACTCTCTCCAGGTCATCATCGTCGTCATCATCCACGAAGTCTCGAAGGCTATTCACTGCCCGCTTGGATTCCTTTAACTGCAAAGGAACATCAGGTGGACACTTAGGCAATCAGCAATGCTCACCCTTCTCTTTGAAAACCAAGAAGGCTGAGGAAATGGAACTTGAAAATGGCCAACACTTTCACCTTCTGTAACAGAAAAATCTAGTCTGCTAAATATTTGCCAAGAAAACAAATTGCTTTTTAGCCAACACTGCAGTCCCGTGGCAAAGGAGTTGGGAGGGCTCAGAGCCACCTCTGAGTTCTAATCATATTCCTGGCAATGCCTTGCTGTGTAAACCAGAGTGAGTTTACCGACTCTCTCAGGTGTTATAAGGGATATGTTCCTGCATTTATAAAACAGACACAATAAACGGACAAAATCTCCACCCCAGTCCATCTTTCAAATAGAATAAATTATATCACATGATAAAAGACAGGATTCTTAAAACAAACAAACAGAAAGAAATGAATCATCTTAAGACTATAAAGTAAGAAGGGCAGAGAGTTGGTTTTTACAATCCTTCTGTTTCTTTTCTGAGAGCTCCTCTCCATAAACATTTTCCTAAAGATTTGACCCAAATGATTTCTGAGCCTAATGGAGACCTGGTGAAGTCAGGTTACCAAGCACACAAAGGGAAGGAATGTTAGAGGCACTGAAGGGAAGGGTGCGACCTTCAGCAACTGTTCATGGAAACCTACCTGAGAGAGCTCATCATCTTCATCATCAAAGGTGAAAGCCTTGAACTTGGAGCTGTTCCAATATTCCTCCTCATCAACCTTTGTCCGATTCATCTGGAGTGAGAGGAAAACCAATGTACAGTATGTCCCTTTCTAGATTCCCTCCCAAAACACTACAAATCCCCCGCAGTAATCAGAGATGTATAAAAGAATCTGGTAAAGCAAATACTGAACCTGCCATGTAAAATCAGATTCTTGGGTATCCAAAAGATGAAACCATACTTTTGATCCTGTAATTACCTACAAGTAGTCATTCATTCCTACAATACCTACTTTGTTCAAGGCACTCTCTCAGGTATTGTAAGGGATATTTTAAAAGTGCAAGATACAGTTCATCTCCTGAAGGACCCAATAACAGAACTGGAGTATTCAGCACAGGTATTTAGAGAGGTAACAGTGCAAGGAAGGCAAGTGTTTTAACAATGCATTGCCACCCAGCCATTGTGGCTCAGCGGTTGAGGGTTGACCTATGAAACAGGAGGTCACGGTTAGAGTTCTGGTCAGGGCACATGCCTGGGTTGCAGGCTCGATCCCCAGTGGGAAGTATGCAGGAGGCAGCTGATCAATGATTCTCTCTCATCTTTGATGTTTCTATCTCTCTCTCCCTCTCCCTATCTCTCTCTGAAATCAGTAAATATATATATATATATATATATATATATATATATTTTAAGAATTCATTATCAACTTTGCTGAACACAAGATCAAAGCACAAACAAGCAGGTCATTACTGCATTCATGTGTTCAACATATATATATTGAGTGCCAGCTCTGAGGCTCTGGGAATACTACAGTGAATAAAACTGACAAACATCTTGCTCTTATGTATGCTTGTTAAATGCCTGAAAGAATAAAAGCAATTTAAAAAAGCAGAACTATCCTTCCTATATCTTCAAATCTTCATTAACTTATTAACAAGTACCTACCCAAACTTGGGAAGTAAGAGCATAGCAAAAAAAATGTGTGTATATATATACACATACATATATATTACACACACACACACACACACACACACATTTGGTCGAAAGACCACAAATCCCTCTCTCATCTACTCTAAAATTAGATTCTGGTCTGAAAAATATTTGCCCTAGAATTACAAACTAAGTTATCAATGCTAACTGGATAGAGTGAAAACTGGTTTAAACCAAGAACTAGGTCCAAAATTTCCACAGCACCACAAATAACTCCAAAGGCTCCGTAGTGTCAAATTCTCAAGGATCAATGTGCCCTTCCTTTCATTACAATAGCACCTTTCTCAAGAGAACCTTCAGAAACGCTCATCTTGGCAGCCCTGTTGTGGTTTCTGATGGCCCTTACCATATTCTACTTTCCCTTTCTGTTTTCAGGGCATATAGGGATGGCAAAGGTATGGTTGGCAATTTTCTACTGCCTGATCCCTTCCCATTCTACTGAACCCAGATGTAGCTTAAAAAAAAAATTTTTTTTGGTAATTATAGTTTTATTGATTTCAGAGAGGATGGGAGAGGGAGAGAGAGATAGAAACATCAATGATGAGAGAGAATCATTGATTGGCTGCCTCCTGCACATCCCCAGTGCAACCCAAGCATATGCCCTTGACTGGAATCGAACCTGGGACCCTTTAGTCCACAGGCCAATGCTCTATCCACTGAGCCAAACTGGCTAGGGTGCTTAAAAATACTTAACTCCAGGGAGTCAAAACCAAATTAAAAAGCTGGAAAACAATGAAATCATCCCTCATTAGTGGTACAAGCACAGGTTTTGTAGTCAGGTAGCCTTGAGTTCAAATCTTTATTTCTCCAATTCTGAGCAAACTGGGTAATAATTTTCCTTCTAAGCCTTGGAGAAAATCATATCCTACCTACACAGGGTTGCAGTGTAGAATATATAGGACTCAGGAAACACCTATCAAAGTGCCTAGCAGAAAGTAAACACTAAACATTAGTTCCTTATAGGATCTCTTACCGGCATCTTCCTACCTCAGTTTCCTCATCTGTAAAATGGACATTAATAATAGAAACCTATCTTATAGGACTGTTGTGAGGCTTAAACCATTTAATACATGCCTGACACAAAATTAATGCTCAGTATTCTTTTAGTATTTTTTAAATTTAATTTTATTTTTTATTTATTTTTAGAGAAAGAGGGAGAAAGATCCATTTGTTATTCCACTTATTTATGCATTCATTGGTTGATTCTTATATGTGCCCTGACCAGAGATTGAACCCATAACCTTGGTGTATCCAGCCAATGCTCTAACCAACTGACTTACCCAGTCAGAGCCCTTAACTTTTATTATTAATAAAGTATTATGGTACCTTGGAAGAAGCTAGAAAGAAAATATTTTTAAGCAATCCTAAAGATTAAAAAAAAAATTTTGATATAAAAATTCTTAGTGGCCATCACAAACACTGTAGGCATGCATAGAGCATATACTGTAAAGTCTCTGGCACAGGTGCCAATTTATAAAGCACTCACTTTGTCATCCTCAGAACAACCCTGTTAGGCAGGCCTGGCAGATTTTTCTCCATTTCACTGTTGAGGGAAATGAGGCACAAAAGGATTAGCTATCAAAGCCACCTTGCTAATTGCTCCTATGATCCTGGTTTGCTGACTCCTGGATCATTTCCACTTTGACCTGCATGGTCCTTCTATTTTTCACTATAGGAAAAACTAGGGCAGGTCATCTTTCACTATAGTAAATAAATATCTGTAAATATCTACACAGAGGATATGATTTTACTGATTTTAGTAAGAGAGGAAGGGGGCCCCGGGCTGGTTTGGCTCAGTGGATACAGCATCGGCCTGCGGACTGAAGGGTCCCGGGTTCGATTCCGGTCAAGAGCACATGCCGGGGTTTCGGGCTCGATCCCCAGTAGGGGGCGTGCAGGAGGCAGCCGATCGATGATTCTCATCATTGATGTTTCTCTCTCTCCCCCTCTCCCTTCCTCCCTGAAATCAATAAAAAAAATTTTTAAAAAGAGAGAGACAGAAAGGGGGGAGAAAAACATTGATCCGTTGCTTCCTGTACACGCCCCCACTGGGGATCAAACTGCAACCTAGGTATGTGCCCTGATGGAAATCGAACCCGAAACTTTTTGGTATACTCAACCACTAGAACCTACTGAGCCACTGGCCAGGGCTGGAATTTTTTAACCACACATTTTAGACTTGGACAGATACTTGACATCAATTTGTCTATTGCCAAATCAGAACCTAGATTTACTTCACAAGTAAAGGGGTAAATATTTAATGGCTCAAGAACTTATAAAGCAAGCAGGTACAATTTTAAGAGTGAAAAGGTTGTTTTAACACCGTTTAAAATAGTTCAGGGGCCCAGCCAGCGTGGCTCAATGGTTGAGCATTGACCTATGAACCAGGTGGTCACAGTTTGATTCCGGGTCAGGGCACACGCTCAGGTTGCAGGCTGATCCCCAGTAGGAGTGCAGCAGACAGCGGATCAATGATTCTCTCTCACTGATGTTTCTATCTCTTATTTCTCTCTCCCTTCCTCTCCGAAATCAATTAAACTATATTTTAAAAAATACTTCAGAGACTTGTCCTTATGGTCACCTATTTAATAAAAGCCCACGAGGGGAGAACAAGAACATGACCAAGAAAGATGGGGAATGAGGGGATCAAAACCAGGAAACGAGGCCCTGGCTGAGTAGCTCAGTTGGTTGAAGTGTGGTCCCAACACGCTAAGGTCGATGGTTGGATCCCTGGTCAGGGCATATCCAAAAATCAAACAATAAATGCATAAATAAGTGTAACAACAAATCAATGTTTCTCTCTCTCTAAAACATCAATTAAAAATAAAATAAATAAATCCATAACCAACAAGCTTCCCTGCCTCAGGACAACCCAGAAGCCAGCTATGGAGAAGTTAGATTCGGATTCGGTTATCCTCTGCCAAGCCAGGCCTACAGGGATGAGGCTGTGAACTGAGACCAGAGGATGTGAGTTAAATTAGTGACAAACGTCCAAGAAGTCAAGGATCTACCGCAGTTGCCACAGCCCGGCGGACCCTTGGTTGACTAAATACTCGTTTAAATCAAACGTCGGGGCTGAGTCCCAGCTCCAACCCTGAGCGTACTCTGGTCTCCCAGCCTGGGGAGCTCCGACAGAAAGAGTCAGGCCTGGGGGTGTCTAGCGACGCCTCAAAGGACAGGGGGAAAGATCATGGTGCGAAGAGGCTGGACTCAGCCAGACCCGCGGCTCAAGGGGTTTGGGACACCCTCACCTCTTCCACACCGAGCCCTCCCAATCAGGACCGCGCCAGGCTCTTCAGCTGCTAGACAAGCCTTTCTAGACTGGGTGTGCGGCATAGCATAGGGGCGGAAGGCGACAGTCGCGGAGGGACGGCTAGAGGGCACCTGCGGCGAGAAAGGCGGCGCAGGGCATGCTAGAAGTTGTAGTTTCTTCCCGCTCTGGCGTCAGGCGCTGCGCGGCAGGACCACGGGGCCTATTAACTACAGCTCCCAGAATCTCCAGAGCACGGTGCTGAGGTCGTTTCCTTGACTTCTAGCGCGACCTTCCGTAGTTACCCAGCGGGTCACTTAGCGAGACTACAACTCCCAGGAGGCTCAGCAGAGGCCACTCGGGGTCCAGGAAAACAATGAGACGTGTCCTTTGTGTCCCTGCGGATTAGGAGAGGTCGAATGAGCGGTTGCGGTTCGGGCCCCTTGATTACCCAAGGCAGCCTGAAAGAACCCTAGAACTGGCGGAAGCCAAGTCCGGCGAGGGGGGACGGAAGTACCGGGTGGGAGTGAGGAGGAGCCGGAAGTTAAGGCGGGGAGGGGGTGGGGGGTGGAGGGAAAAGCAAGCCAGAAGGTTCTGCGGCCGCTTCTAGTAGTTTCTAGGCGCTGCCGGGTGCTCGGACCAGGCGGTATTGAGGTGGTTGCTGGGGCTGCTCGGGACCAGGCGGTACTGAGGTGGTTGCTGGGGCTGCTCGGGACCTGGTGACGGCGCGATCGGAAAGCCAATGGCCAAGTGGGGCGAGGGTGACCCACGCTGGATCGTGGAAGAGCGGGCGGACGCCACCAACGTCAACAACTGGCACTGGTGAGGGCTAGCGGGCCAGGCCGCCGGAGCGCTGCGCCGCGCCGGGTTGCGGGGTCCCCGGGACCAAGCTGGGGCCGAGGCAGCCCTGCCCGGGATGGGGGTGGGCTCTTCTCCACGCCGTGGTCCCAGCCCCAGGCCTCCCCCGGCTGCCCTCTCAGTGTTTAGGGGGCGAGGAGCAGCGTGGAGGGGTGCCCCCAGAGGAGGGGTTTCCGAGAGGTGAAAGCATAACACCCCCGGCTCCTGCTTCCAGCCCGAGCAAAGAGGTGGTCCCCGCACGTGGTCGGAGGAGACAGTGCGGCCAAACGGCGGGCGCGGATCGCGTGGGGAGGTCGCTGTGTAAGGCTCGGGCGCAGGACGGGGCGGAGGAGGGGCCTGGATTCCTGTTTCGCGGCTTAGGGGTGAAATGGAAAGTCCTGGGGACCACCGCCTCCGTCCCGAGAGCGGTTTGGAGCGTGCTCCCCAGGCGCCCAGAGCTCAGGACGGTGAGGACGCCTTGGCCTCGCCCGGAACTGTTGGGTCGGTTGTGCTGTAACTGCAGGGGCTGCCCCGGGTTGCTGGGCAAGCGTGGTTTTATATCCTAACCCCTCTTCCAAAGCCGCCTCTCCTGCATGAAATCTTCCGGGGGGAGTTTCCTTATCTCCCGACTTCGCTGAACTCTGTTCATACTGTCTTCACTGTTTTTGTTGTTGGTTTTTTACTTTGTTGCAGCTTTTTGCCGTTCCTCTCTGCTCGTTTAGTAAGTTGCCAGGCAGATAGTCCTTTTTCTTCTCCTTATCTCAGCCCGGCCTCCGCTCCTGTGAATGGACACGGAGTGTTTGGCCTCATTTTTGTTTGTTTTGAAGCTCTGGGCTTCCATTGTTTTCACGGCCTGTCTAGAGGGCTCACAATGTGTAGGGCGTGTATGACACGGCCTGAACCTGCCAGGTCAAGATTATTGGTTTATTCCTCCCTGGACTTTTCATGCATTCTGTGGCCTCCTCTGTGCTGCTTACTTCGGTAAGATGTGCACAGATTTCCACGGGGTCAAGTGGCACTGTGCACCGCGTGAAGGTGTCCTGTCAAATACCCACGCCAGAACCATTATGCTGATTTAGTTTGTAACCGTTCTGTGCAGCAGTTGTCCTCATTGACAGTATGTGACAACTTGTCTTCCTAAAAGAGAGTGACAACGTTTGTGGACATACTGGAATGGGACTGAGGGTTTTCTGTTATTTTTAAACCATTTGTCAGGCCTCCGCTAGCCTGCCGTTCTCTTGACTAGAGCAAGCAGAGTGCTCTGCAGTTGGCTGCTGGTCCATAGCCTTGTTTCTGTTTTGCAGGACAGAGAGGGATGCTTCAAACTGGTCCACGGATAAGCTGAAAACACTGTTCCTGGCAGTGCGGGTGCAAAATGAGGAAGGCAAGTGTGAGGTGACAGAAGTGAACAAGCTTGATGGAGAGGCGTCCATTAACAATCGCAAAGGCAAACTTATCTTCTTTTATGAGTGGAGCATCAAACTAAACTGGACAGGTGAGTGTGCTGGGCTGCACTGACGGATGTGTTAAGGAGCCAGGCACAAGTTTTAAGAGGTCATGACCTTTTCACGGGAGGTGTGCTGCTTCGGTGACCTACAGAAAGCAGCGTGAGATGCTGGGACACTAAGTGGGTTTCCTCACTGTGAGTCTCAAAGAGTCGCCACAGCGAAGCCACTGTGCACCTATATTTTGGGGGCTTGGGCTGTAGCTACTTCTGTCACTTGGATGATAGGAAAGTGGGGAGAGGGATTTTTTTTTTGGTCTTGCTCTTATTGCCTTCAGTGTGATTCTGGCAGGTTAAACTACTGTGCTGGCGAAGCTCACATGTGACTAATTTGGGGCAGCTTTATCCTCTGTCCCTTCTGTGATACTAGCAAAGAATTGGGACCATGCATATGCCCTACTAGAAGGTCCTTCAGTTGGGAGGCTGAATTTTAAAAGGCCCTAAAGCTAAAGAATTATGTGTAGGAGGCAAATCATAAAATAAATTTATGCTTCAGTAAATATTTCTCAAATGAATGGTAATAAAAAGGGGGAAAGTAGATGTATCAGGTTTGTTTTTTTGTTTGATTTAACTACTAAAGCATAGTGGTCTAAAAGGAACCTTAGGTATCATCTTGCCCCATCCTCTTTTCATAGATAGAGAAACTGAGGCCTAGTGAAGTGAAAGTAAATAAATGTTTTGAAATACAGTCAGTTCTGCTATAATGTATTCCTAAAAGTCACTGCACTATGCAAAGTTGCTCAATGAAAACCACAGGGCTAATGGAGAAGAGAGGATTAGGCATACAACATGCAAAAATTTCATCAATGACTCGTTTTTAAAAATTTAAGACCAAGCCCCGGCCAGTGTTGCTAAGTGGTTAGAGCATTGGCCCAGGCAACTGAAGGGCCCTGGGGTTCAATTCCCACTCAAGGGCACATACCTAGATTGCAGGTTCAATCCCGTGCTGCTTGGGGTACTTGTGGGAGACAACCAATTTGCTTCTCTCACATCAATGTTTCTCTCTCTCTCTCTCTCTCTCTCTCCTTCCCTCCCTTCCTCCCTCTCTAAAAATCAATGGGAAAAATATTCTTGGGGTGAGGATTAACAAAAAAGAAATTTTAGGAACGTAAATGTGGATAGCACAGTTTTAAACATGTTAAATTATAAGAAATACATAAATAATACAATAAATATGGTGCTTTATTTGAAAAAGACCTGAAGTTTACTTGTGAAAATGGGCGGCAGAAGAATTGTGGCTTGGGTGTTATTGTGAAGTGGTGGGAGGAGGGTCATCTGAAATCAGAAGGAACTGGATAACACCAGTTGTGAATGTCGTGGCTTATAACAGGCGTAGTGCACTGAAGTCACTAGCAAGGAGATGTTTGAGATGTGTTTTGTGTGTTCCTGTGCCGCTCAATTAAATGGTGTGGTTTTTTTATGTTCACGTAGTATTTCTCATAGAGGGAATCACATATGAGCCGATGTGAAATTCATGTTATGATCCAATGTCCCCTAATGCATTAGTCACATTGGGACAAACTTGTGTTTTCTAACGAAGCATTCTAGCAGAACTGACTGTATTGGCTATTGACTCAAGTCCTCCCTGGCAGAATTTGGCAGTTCTCGATCCCACATGGTAATAACACACAAGTTCAAGAAATTTGACGAGGAAAGACATTTCTGTTGGGGGAAGAAGGTCCGTTGCGTCTGGTGTGTCGTGTCGCATTTTTCTCAGAATGAAGAGGGTCCGTTCAGTTGTCCAAAGGAGTGTAAGCAGGGCAGTAGTTAGGGCTCCAGAGCAGACGACTTTTCGTGCAGAGGAGACAGTGACATGGCCTTGCTTTTGGCAGGTACCTCTCCGTCTGGAGTGCAGTACAAGGGACACGTGGAGATCCCCAATTTGTCTGACGAAAACAGCGTGGACGAAGTCGAGGTTTGTGCTTCCTCCCTCCTCCTCTGTGCTTCCACATCCTCTTACTCTCAGAGGAGAACAATGAGCTGTCACTCAAAAGTAAAGGCCAGCTGGGCCCACGCATTCAGAACCCCCGTTTGGATGACTTTCTAGGTCAGTGGTGCCACTGGCAGCCTCCAGAGCAGCTTGTGCTTCTTTAGCTGCTTTGCTTTAGCTGGTGCTGTGGGTTCTAACATTGGCCACCTTTGCCTTGGCAGAGAGAACCTGAGAAGGGACACTCATGGGGATTGTACGAATGCCCCATCCCTCACCCGTTTCCTCTGGAAACGTCAGTTATCTGATTGCTCAGCACCACATTCCACAGCGCAGGTACCCCTCACGTGATTTACCACCTACTTCTGATCTTTCACTCAGATTAGTGTGAGCCTTGCCAAAGATGAGCCTGACACAAATCTCGTGGCCTTAATGAAAGAAGAAGGGGTGAAACTTCTCAGAGAAGCCATGGGAATTTACATCAGCACCCTCAAAACAGGTATCCCTGGAGTAGTTCATATGCCTTGAGGTAGTTTCCACCTGTCAGACTCTGATAAAGGGGCTTGACAGTCTTTTCTTTGGCAAATGGGTAAAGATTTGGGGGGAGGGGCCTTATTTCATCTTGAAGTCAATGTATACACTCTGAGGAAGGAAAGAGCTAGAGGTGCATTGTCTAATATGCTGGCTGTTGAGCAATTGAAATGTGACTCGTTCAAATAGAGATGTACTTTGAGTATAAAATACAATGGATTGAAGACTTGGTACAAAAAATAATGTAAAATATCAAATTTTTTATATTGATAATATATTGAAGTGATAGTTTGGGTACATTGGGTTCAATATATTTTAAAATTAATTTTCCTGTTTAAGTTTTTTGTGTGGCTCCTAGAAAATTGTAAATTATACCTGAGGCTGGCATTACACTTCTCTTGGACAATGCTGGTGTACAGACTTGCCTCTCCAGCCTCACTGCTTGAGCACAGTCCTGGAGTATCTCTGATATGCATTCTCCAGGGACCTTTAGGGGGTGACTAGAATACTAACCAGCTCAGCTCTCCCTAGAATTCCAGCTCTGCCAGTACGGTTTTATCCTGGTGGAGTACATGTAATGACATGGAATTCCCTAGAATTCCAGCTCTGCCAGTACGGTTTTATCCTGGTGGAGTACATGTAATGACCATCAGAGGAAACCAGCCTAG